GAGCCAGACTCTTCCCAGTGGTGCCCAGTGCCAGGACAAGGGGCAATGGGCACAAACTGAAGCAGAAGAGGTTCCAGGTGAACGTGAGGAAGAACTTGTTGACTGTGAGGGTGCCCGAGCCCTGGCCCAAGCTGCCCAGGGGGGTTGTGGAGTCTCCTTCTCTGGAGATATTCAAAGCCCGCCTGGATGAAGTCCTGTGTAACATGCTCTAGGAGAACCTGCTTTAGCAGGGGGATTGGACTGGGTGATCTCCCGAGGTCCCTTCCAACCCTTGCCATTCTCTGATTCTGTGATTCTCTATCACCCGCGGAGGCTCGCAGGAGCTACCGGACCCTGCGAGGAGCTGCCTGCTCTCTGGCCCTCGTGCGTGCCACGTGCTGCCAGCCCAGCGGCTGCTGAAATCCCCCCGGCGCGCTCCTGCCCCACTCCCAAAGAGGTGCTGCTGGCGGCAGATGGAAATAGCAGCAGCTCTGTTGATTTACAACCACAGCCCTGACTTTAATGGGCTGGTTTTGCTCCCCGACAGCTACAGGTTTGGTCTTCTTTTCTAACAAGTCTCTTTTTTGGGTTTTTTTTGGGGTGGTGTTTTTTTGGTTTTATTTTTTTTCCCCCTGCGTGTGACCCTGTTAGCTCCTCGAACCAAGGGCGCACGGGGAGGCGAGGGTTCGCCCTGCGCGCGGTGGGGGGGACACGCGAGCTGCTCCTGTCTCCCCTTTGGAAAAACAAACCCAGATCCTATAAAGCATAAGAGGCCTTTGTCTGCAGCGGTCCCTGCTCCCCAGGGAGAGGCGGGTGCTGCTGCACCCCGGTGAAGGGCCGGCAGCAGCCCCGGAGCCAGCCCCGGGCGCCCCAGCCGTGCCGCAGGGTGATGCCTCCCCTCGCCAGCCCCGGCAGGAATGTTTGCTGTCACCGCAGCCTGCGGCGAGGAAATATTTTCCAAGCAAAAAAAAGGCCTCCCAGTGTATTTCGCGCTGACGGCTTCCAGCAGCCCTCTGTAGCCGTCTTGTTCTGCCGCCGCCGGGACACCTACCCGGAGGAAGAGAGGAGGCGAAGGTGGGAAAGCTTTAAAAAGCTCTGGTTAAGTTTGTTCCACCCTGGCCGTTCCCCGCTAGAGCGGGGCTTTAGAGGCTGCAAAACACCCGGCGGCTGCTCGGGGAGGGGGCCGATGGTTTCCCGTCTGCCTCGGATGCTCAACGCCCCCCCTGCCCAGTGTCGCGTCCCGGGGGAGGGTTGGGGAAGCGTGGCAAAGCGGGGCAGCTCCGGCGCCGTGAAGGGATGCCCCGGCTCCTTCCCAGGCTCCTTCCCAGGCTGGCAATGTAGGTCAAAGCCCTCTCCTGATTGAAACCCAGTGACGATGATGGCGTTACAGGTTGGGCTGAAATATGTACCTCCGGGTCTTTACTCTGGCACCGAAACAAAACATACTCAGAAAACTGTGAAAAATAAACCCAGCTTGTGAATGCAGCTGATTGGAAGTTTTTCCAGCAGAAAAGTGCTGTCCGACCCGTGTAAAATCATTCCTGGGGCATGTGTTGATTTGGGCAGTGTTTCCTCCGAGGGAAAAAAAAAAAAAAAATATCAGAGTGAGGGGGGAAAAATGTTTGGCAAGAGCCGGAGCCACCGCCTTCAGCGGAGCTTTTCCATCCCGGCTGCAGAACGGCTCTCCCTTGGAAATGCACTTTATTTAGCAGCCTCAATGCACTTTATTTAGCAGCCTGCTGCCTGGTACGTGCTGCCGTGGCAGGGGGCAAGACAGGATCGGCCGGCCCGGGGTGG